TTTTAGCACAATGGTTAAGTATTCATGAACCTAGATTCAAATCTAGCTGGGTGATCTTGGGCAGGTGTTTGAGCCTCAGTATCCTTAACTTTCAAATGAACATTAATGGACATTAATAACAGTATCTACTCTGTAGGCTTGTAATAAGCTTTAGATAAGAAAAAATATATATAAAAGCCTTAGGGTAGGGTACCAGGCATTCATTAATAGCAAGAGCTCAGTAAGTAACAGATCTAAGTATTATTATCACCACTGCCAACACCATTATCATTGGATCTCTGGGAACATAACTTCTGTTTTCTCCTGCCCTCATGGATCCATTTTTTCTAGGGTATCTGGCATATTACAATATCTCCTTATATGAGTGTGTTTTCACACTACTGATAAAGACATACCTGTAACTGGGCAGTTTATAAGAAAAAAGAGGTTTAATGGACTTACAGTTCCACCTGGCTGGGGAGGCCTCACAATCATGGTGAAAGGCATGTCTTACAGGGCAGCAGACGAGAGACTGAGAGCCAGGTGAAAGGCATTTCTCTTTATAAAACCATCAGATCTCCTGAGACTTATTCACTACCATGAGAACAGTGTGGGAGAAACCACCTTCATGATTCATTTATCTCCCACCGGTTCGCTCCCACAACATGAGGGAATTATGGGAGCTACAATTCAATATGAGATTTGGGTAGGGACACCAAACCATATCACTCCTTATTTCTCCCTTTCAAAGCATGTATAGTGTATTGGAGCCTTGTCTTTTGGCATTTGACAAACTTAGGTTTGAATCATTTTTCTTTCACTACCAGCTTCCTGACCTTGAGGAATCAAAATTACTTGGTAACTGCTAAGACACAAGAGGAGAGGAGTCAGAGATGACTTCTGATTCAGAAAGATTGAGGGTTTGTAATGCTTTTAAAAAGAGGAGCTCATTTTGATGGCAAGAATTTGGTTATTTATGTATTTATTGTTTTATTATTATTATTTTTAGAGACAGGGTCTCACCATGTTGCCCAGGCTGGTCTTGAACTTCTGGGCTCAAGCGATCCTCCTGCCTTGGCCTCCCAAAGCGCTGGGATTACAGGCGTGAGCCACTGCACTTGGTCTTTTAAAAAGTTTTTTATTTTTTAAGTTTCCCACGAGTCACAGGGAATGAGAGTTTGGTTTTGTATTTTTATTTTTTTAATTTTACTTTTATTTTTTTTCTTTCTTTTTTTCTTTTTTTTAAAAAGAGGCAGGGTTTCACTGTGTTGCTCAGGCTAGTCTCGAACTCCTGAGCTCAAGCAATCCTCTCGCCTCAGCCTCCCATAGTGCTGGGATTACAGGTGTGATCATGATCTGGCCCAGGTTTTTTTTTTTTCCTTTTCTTTTTCTTTCTTTCTTTTTTTTTTTGAGACAAAGTCTCGCTCTTTTCACCCAGGCTGGAGTGCAGTGGCGCAATCTCTGCTCACTGCAACCTCCGCCTCCCGGGTTCAAGCAATTCTCCCTGCCTCAACCTCTGGAATAGCTGGGATTACAGGTGCCCGCCACCACACCTGGCTAATTTTTGTTTTTTTTTTTTTTTTTTTTTGAGACGGAGTCTCACGCTGTTGCCCAGGCTGGAGTGCAGTGGCGCGATCTCGGCTCACTGCAAGCTCCGCCTCCCGGGTTCCCGCCATTCTCCTGCCTCAGCCTCCTGAGTAGCTGGGACTACAGGCGCCCGCCACTGCGCCCGGCTAATTTTTTGTATTTTTAGTAGAGACGGGGTTTCACTGTGGTCTCGATCTCCTGACCTTGTGATCCACCTGCGTTGGCCTCCCAAAATGCCTGATTACAGGCGTGAACCACTGCGCCTGGCCGTATTTTGTTGATTCTTATGTTCTCTCAGGTTGAAATTCTACAGTTGCATTCATTTTATAACATCTGACCAATGGCCTAAAGTTGAAACAGGCCGTGGGAAATCTTTCTCTCTCTTTTTTTTCCCCTAGTGAAACTGAACTGAACCTAGAAACTGGGAGATTTCTTGCTGTCAGATTTGTTTAGTTCCTGTCCTTGCCAAAATGTTTACCCTTACTGAAGATCACTGCTCTCCAGGCAGTGATCTTTAATTAGAGACTCAAGGTGTAGCTTACTTTATCTTAAAAACAAAACAAAATTAAAAAAAAAAGGAGGTGGGGTACACCAAAGAAAAAAATAAAAAATAAAGGGAAAAGAAAAGAAAAAGAAAAAAACTCTCCAAACAAAAAACTCCAGAAAATAAACAAATAATGGAAAGGCCCTGTAACCTTAGAATTATAGACCCATTAATTTGCTAAATAGTACTTTAAAACTGTTTTTCTCAACAGACTGTAGAATTTTCTCCAGAATCAGATAAGAGTAATGGGGGTTTTAGGCTTAATAATTCCACTATTAATCACTGTTTACATTGTTTAATTGTGTTGAGAAAATGGTTTAAAACAAGAGTTTTCAAAGCATTTGTTGATCTTTTATCAGCTCTTAGTTCTGTAACAAGATACAATCTGCAAAACAAATGGTTGTGTAAAAGATTGCAGATTGTCCATACTTGTTCAGAGCTTCTAGATAAAACTGCTAGATTAAGTATAACCGTAGTCTTTTTTTTTTTTTTTTTTGAGATGGAGTCTTGCCCAGGCTGGAGCGCAGTGGCATGATCTCGGCTCACTACAGCCTCCACCTTCTGGGTTCAAGCAGTTCTCCTGCCTCAGTCTCCTGAGTAGCTGGGCTTACAGATGCTTGCCACCATGCCTGGCTAATTTTTGTATTTTTAGTAGAGATGGGTTTTCACCATGTTGGCCAGGCTGGCCTTGAACTCCTGACCTCAAGTGATCTGCCCGCCTTGGCCTCCCAAAGTGCTGGGATCACAGGCATGAGTCACTGTGCCCAGCCCAACTGTAGTCTTTTGGTAAATGAAATTTCAATGTCAGACACTATGAAGTACTATTAACCTAACCTTTTTTTTTTTTTTTTAAGGCTTACTTATATTTGAATGTTTTTTCACACAGTGGAATTGCTCCTAATATGCATTAAGTGAAGCAACCTCTACTCTTTATGTTGCCAAAAACAAAAACAAAAGCCTGAAGCTTTTAACTTTTTTTAAAACCAAAAATTTTTCCCCCATGTATCGAGGAAAGTTATTTGAGGGTCTTTTTGGAACCTTTCTTATAATGCCGAAGCAGGTTCAAAGTATATTGAAAGCAAAGATAAGCTTTTTTGCAGTTTTCCTTGCAGACTACCACGGTGGAAATGAGATGTGTCTTCATTTCTAAAAGAATGTCAGGCTTCTAATTTTTCCCAGAAAAAGCTGTGCTGTCTGCCTCTATTGCCACATATATTTCTATTTGAGACACTCTGAGGATTCAACTAAGAATCCGTTGATACTATCCATCCTTTACCAATAGATTATAGTAATCTTCCTTTCTTTAACATCTATAACGTCTATCCTTGTGACTGAAAGACAGGTGAGTTCCAGTGTAATGCATTTTAAGAGGGACAATAGAACCTTTTATTTTTTCTCAAGTTATAGTCAAAGATAGTTTCTATTAAATTAGTCAATATTCTTTTTTCCTTTTTGAGACGGAGTCTCGCTCTGTTGCCCAGGCTGGAGCGCAGTGGTGCGATCTCGGCTCACTGCAACTCTGCCTCCCAGGTTCACGCCATTCTCCTGCCTCAGCCTCCCGAGTAGCTGGAACCACAGGCGCCCGCCACCACGCCCGGCTAGTTTTTTGTATTTTTAGTAGAGACGGGGTTTCACCGTGTTAGCCAGGATGATCTCGATCTCCTGACCTCATGATCTGCCCCCCTCAGCCTCCCAAAGTGCTGGGATTACAGGCGTGAGCCACTGCACCTGGCCGTCAATATTCTTTTTTTTTTTTTTTTTTTTTGAGACAGGGTCTCACTCTTATGCCCAGGCTGGGGTGCAGTGGTGCAATCTTGCCTCACTGCAGCCTTGACCTCCCCAGGCTCAGGTGATCCTCCCACCTCAGCCTCCCAAGTAGCTGGGACTACAGGCATGTGCCACCATGCTCAGCTAATTTGTTTTTTTACTTTTTGTGGAGACAGGGTTTTGCCATTTTGCCCAGGCTAATCTTAAACTGCTGGGCTCAAGAAATCCACCTGCCTTGGCCTCCCAAAGTGCTAGGATTACAGGCATGAGCTACTGCACCCAGCCTATGAATGTATTCTTCATAGGTTTCCTTTAAGTGCCAGATTACCTTCAGTTATACACATCATCATGTTCTTATTATAGGCACATGGAGTAATGACAGGATAGATAGCCTTTTGCTATATTAGGTTTATCCATGTACATTTTTTAAATAGCACTTACGTTGTGTTTTGTTCATATGCTTATTTCTGACTAGACTGAGATCTTGAAGGCCAAGGACAGTCTGTTATTTATCTTTGCTGCAGAATGCCTGACATATTGAGGACATGCAGGAAAACTTTGAATTAATGAATTATAGCTCAAAATACACAAGGCTTCTAACAAATAATTCTTGTTAGACTTGACTCTTGCAGTTCTTACAGGTTTTCCCAACATAGTCATAATTCTTGTACCTCTTGGCAACATGATGTAGCAGAAGTGGGCTTCCTGGGATAGGCCGCAGTTTGAATCCTAACTTTGCTAACCTATCAACTGTTCTTTTTTACTCAATTAATCTTAAAAATTGAGTCATAATTTACATGCCATAAAACTCACCCTTTTAAGGTATATAATTCAATGATTTCTAGTATTTTCACAACAAGGTGTACAACCTTCACCACTATCTAATTCTAGGACACTTTCATTACCCCACAAAGGAAACTTCATACCCATACTCATGCCCATTAGCAGTCATCCCTCAATTCCTTCTTCCTCCATTCCCAACTAGGCATATACAAATCTTACCATTTTTCTTCAAGGGAAACAGATTAAATTGATCTGGCCTTATAACTGACTTCTAATGCTCTTTACCCTTCAGAAATGTATTATGCTAAAAGGAGGCATTAATTGGTTTTTCTCCCTGTAGGAAACAACACCAAATACGGATACCATGGGACAAACAGTGAATGAAGGTAAGATTTACTTGCTAAAGGTAATAATGTTTTTAGTTACTCATTTGGAATGAATATCTTCTGGTATACTGAACTTTTGAAATAAAGCCTTTAAAAAATAAATTTATAGGAGATGCTAGGTGCTTAGAATTTGAATTTTAGAACTGAATAGCTATTAAAGGTCACTGTCTTTCCTTGCTAGTTATATAAATGAGAAAACTAAAACTTAGGGAGGTTAAGGTCATACAACAGTTTGTGACAAAGCCAGGATTAGAATCCAAAGAGTGATTAAAAAATGTTTTATCCTGTTTTGCTCTATGAGAAGTCTGTTCACTATTCCATGAATATGCCACACTCATTTGCAGTCAACTTTGTGTTGTATCTTCCTTCCCATAATACATTCTTTACACATTGGCCTTCCTACATCCTGTTTCTCCTTTAAGTGCTGTATCTCTCATGACTTCCTCTGGCTGAATGCTGAGTACTAAATGCTGTTCTCTAATTTTAAGTGTATCAGTTTAGTGTAGTCTCTTAACTAGATTCTTAGCTTCTCTAGAAGCTAAGCATGCCTTTACAGTTTTACTTTGTTTTCTATTAGAAAAATCTTTCTGTAGAACTATTTAGTAAATATAAATTTGTACTTTTCTTGTGCAGATTCAAGTTTGGCTTTTTGGTGGAGGAGGAGAGGATAAGATGACTTCATAAGCGGTGTTGTGTATTTCTCACAGTAGACTCCTAATATGTAGTTATCTCTCTCTGTCTTTTTTACAATTTTTATTTTTATTTTATTTTTTGAGATGGGTTTTGCTCTGTTGCCCAGGCTAGAGGGCAGTGGCATGATCATGGCTTATTGCAATCTCTGCCTCCTGGGCTTAAGTGATCCTCTTGCCTTAGCCTCCTGAGAGGCTGGGCCACAGATGTGAGCTACCATGCCTGGCTAATTTTTTGTATTTTCAGTAGAGACAGGGTTTCACCATGTTGGCCAGGGTGCTCTCGAACTCCTGACCTCAAGTGATCTTCCCGCCTTGGCCTCTCAAAGTGCTGGGATTATAGGCGTGAACCACCGTGCCTGACCTTTTTTTAAAACATATTTTTTTTACAGAGATGAAATTATCAGACTGAAGTGCAGTGGCGTAATCACAGCTTACTGTAACCCCAAACTCCTGGGCTCAAGTGATCCTCCTGCCTTGGCCTCCCAAGCAGGTGAGGCTGCAGATGTGTGCCACCACACCTGGCTAATTAAAAAAAATTTTTTTTTTTGTGGAGACTGGATCTTGCTGTGTTGCTCAGGTTGGCCTCAAACTCCTGGCCTCAAGCGATCCTCCCTCCTTGGCCTGCCAGAATGGTGGGATTACAGATGTGAGCCATCGCATCCAGCCTAGTTATCTCTTCACATCACAAAAAGTCATGGATGGCTCTTTTCACATCACAAAAAGTCATGGATGGCTATTGCCTAGATCCATTCATTTATTAGTAGTTATAAAATGAAGGTATTCTATCATTCTTCATTAGCCAGAAAATTTCTATATAGAGGAACTACCTTTCTTCAACCACTCAGTTGAAATCATTTAAACAGAAAGCAGCTTATATGTCCCTCTCAAGTGTTCACATATCTTGAAGAGTCACTCAGTCATAACTAGTAAGTAGATCTGTTACGTTGAATGGCATCATTCTTAGATCCTTCTTTAAGAAGTTTTTCACTTGGCAATTAGAACATCAATAAGGGTAAAACAGCAACAGATGAAAACACAAGTTTAAATCCATGAGTTCATAATGATAATAAAAAGCAAAACAAATAAAGCTTACTGGTCATCTGTGGAGAATACTAGAGATCTAGCTTATCACTTTGAAAACTAGAAAATACAGGAAAATAATAAAGTGTTGATTGTGATTTCTCTATGTGATCCGTGCCTTAAGGTAACTGAATGGTTGAAGCATGGAAGCTTCTCTCTATAGAAGTTTTCTGGCTAATAAAGAATGATAGAATTAGAATACCTTCATTTTGCAACCATTCATAAACGAATGGATCTAGGCAATAGTCATCCACGACTGTTCACATCACGAAAAGAGAGATAACTAGATATTAGGAGCCTCCTGTGAGAAATACACACCACCACCTATGAAGTCATCTTATCCTCTCCTGTCCCACCAAAAAGCCAACCTTAAATCTGACCAAACTCTTCTGGATTGAAATATGAATGCCAATTTAAAGAAAATACAAGAACCAGAGGAACCCAACTCTGTGGGGAGGTAGTCAGCAAAATCCAGATGCGAAAACTTGAAAGGACCAACCGACTGGTATTGTCAGCAAAAAAATTGTAAAGGGAAAGAATAAAAATGAGAAGAAAGGAGGAAAACGCCTGTAGATCAATAGAGGCCTAAGAGACATATCAACCATTGCTATGTGTGTAGACTTACTTGGGTTCTGAATCAAGCACACACACTGAAAATAGTTAAGACAATTGGGGAAATATGAACACTGGTTATTTGATGATTTTAAGGAATTATGGTTAATTTTTTAGATGTAATAAAAGTATTATGCTTAAATTTTAAAAAATGAATCCTTTTAGAGATACATACTATATATAATACATGTGGATGAAATGGTACATCTTAGATTTGGTGAGGTTACAAGGTCCAGTGTTATTTGAGCTCTTTAGCTTAGCACCAAGAAAATCTCTGCGCAGTCCATTGAATTACACTGTATTGTAGCTTCTCTGTTATGTTTTGAACTCTCAAAACCATCCATTTTGTTTCTAGGACATGTTAATTTAAACATTGTAAAGATCAATCAGCTCATTTTGATTTATTGATGCACTGAATTTTTTTTTTTTTTTTTTTTTTTGTGACGGAGTCTCACTCCGTCACCCAGGCTGGAGTGCAATGGCGCTATCTTGGCTCACTGCAACCTCTGCCTCCCGGGTTCAAGTGATTCTCTTGTCTCAGCTGCCTGAGTAGCTGGGATTACAGGCGCCTGCCACCATGCCTGGCTAATTTTTTGTGTTTTTAGTAGAGACAGGGTTTCGCATGTTGGCTTGGCTGGTCTCAAACTCGTGACCTCATGTGATCTGCTTGCTTTGGCCTCCTCAAGTGCTGGAATTACAGGCATGAGCCACCGTGCCCGGCCTGATGCATTGATTTAACAAATGCTTGAGAGTGTTGCGATGCCAGGTCCTGTTTTAGGCACTTGAGGATACCACAGTGAATGAGATAGACAATAAAATAAATAAATCTCCACCCTTTTGGAGATTTCATTTGAGTAGAGTGAGACAATAAAATAAATGAACAAATTATAAAATGCATAGTATAATAGAAAATGGTAAGTCCTACGTGGAAAATGAGGGTATTAAAAAACTAAAATTGGCTATTTAACATTTTTTAATTTATATTTTTCTGAGTGCTCTTTCAAGCTGTTGCTGTGGCCTCCCACTATTGCTATTTTCTTTTTTATTAGATTCCATGGATGTCAAGAAGGAGAATCAAGAGAAAACTCCTCAGTCAAGTACGTCTTCTGTACAAAGAGGTAGGTTTTAAAGTAATTTAATACAGCATAGTTTTCTTCCTCACTAGTGTTAAAATTAACTTTAAGTGCAAATTTTCTTATTGTTTTGGTTTCTTATTGTATAGTCTGTATACCGTAAACTTCTGTAAATATAAAATCTAATAAGAAAGGTCAAAAATTGTATTTTATTTTGAAAATTTTACTTTGGTTTTACTTAGAGATTAAGTTGACATGGATTAAGTAAAAAGGTAACTTTGTATATTTCAGTGCAAATTTTCCTAAATTATAGGTATCTAGTTATTAATTGCCATGTATATATTACCAATTTAAAATAATTTGGTTATTAGCAAAAACCCTTCTAATGTTATAGTCAATGTGAAAGCTTTTTTTTTTTTCTGGCCATGGTGACCTTGGGCACATTACTCAGCAGCTCTTAGACTCTTTTTCTTCTTCTTTCTTTGAGACAGAGTCTTACTGTGTCACCCAGGCTGGACTGCGGTGGTGTGATCTTGGCTCACTGCAACCTCCACCTTCTGGGTTTAAGTGATTATGCCTCATCCTCCCAGGTAGCTGGGACTACAGGCGTGCACCACCATGCCTGGCTAGGTTTTGTATTTTTAATAGAGATGGGGTTTCACTGTGCTGGCTATGCTGGTTTCAAACCTCCGACCTCAGGTGATCCACTCGCCTCAATCTCCTAAAATGCTGGGATTACAGGCGTGAGCCACTGCGCCCGGTTCTTTTTTCTTCTTTATAACACAGGGATAATGATAGTACTTATCTCATGGTACTACTGGAAATAAATAGAGGAAATGAATTTAAAGCACCTAATATAATGCTTAGGCATATAGTAAGTGTTCAGTAAATGTTAATTTATTAATTCATGTTCCTTATTATGAACAGCACGTGTATAATATTGCATCAGAGACACTCAGGAGATGTAATAGAATCTGATGCATTGGCTTGCTCTTAAATGAGAAAATAAGTCATATGTACACAAAATGCATTAAAAAATAACATAGCAAACTGTTGTTTTACCAGACATTTCCAGAGATTTCTTGCCCCTTGTGTTTCTGTTGTATTTGCCCTGCCAGCCCCAGTGCAGAGCAGTTCACCCTATGACTTTCTGTTCCTATGTGAAGATTGCCTGTAGAGGTAATCCCCGTGGAGTTGTTGTCTCTCACTATAGCTGGTCCCTCAGTGCTCCCTTAACTTTCTTTCCCGTGGCCTTATTTGTTCTTCAACTCTTCCCTGTAACCCCCAAATCCTCTGAGCTTTGAAATGGAGGCCATTGAATTAGACTGTTCTTTATCCCTACAAACTCCTCTCCATGTGTTTTTAAAAATATAACAGCTTTACTGAGATAAAATTCACATATCATATAATTCACCTATTTAGAGTGCACAATTCAGTGGTTTTCAGTATGTTCACAGAGTTGTGCAACCACCACCACAGTCAATTTTAGAGCATTTTTATCCCCCTAAAAAGAAATCCTGTACCCATTAACAGTACTTCCCATTTCCCCCTAGTGCCTCCTCTCTCCCCCAGCTCTAGGCAAACACTGGTCTACTTTCTGCCTCTATAGATTTTCCCATTGTAGACATTTAGTTAAAAAAATAGATTACTTAAGTTGATAGCCATCTGCAGATACTTCTCAGGCCTGGGCCCTAACATCCTGTTTTAGAAATCAGTGAGTGACTACCAGAAGATAAGCTCCAAGAGAGCCAGGGTTTTAATCTGTTTTATTAACTGATGCATCTGCAGTACCTAGGACAGTCCCTGGCACATGCTGATGACCTGCTATGGGAATCCGGTTATGAACAATACAGACATGATTCCTGCCCTCTTTTATTGACTGACTGATTGAGACAAGGTCTTACTCTGTCACCTAGGCCGGAGTGCAGTGGCATGATCATGGCATATTGCAGCTTTGACCTTCTGGGCTCAAGTGATCCTCTCACTTCAGCCTCCTGAGTATCTGGGACCACAGGCGTGCACCACCATGCCTGGCAATTTTTAACAATTTTTTGTAGAGACAGGGTCTCCCTGTGTTTCCCAGGCTGGTATTGAATTCCTAGGCTCAAGCGATCTGCCCACCTCAGCCTTCCAAAGTGCTGGTATTACAGGTGTGAGCCACTGCACCCAGCCTCTTACCCTCTTTGAGCTTAGTGGGAAAGATAGAAATCAACAGATGCCTAATTATAGTTGTGATAAATGCTGTGAATTAGTGGATGCTGATCATTCAGCTGAGAAACTTCTATCTCTAGGTATTTTGCCCATCTTCACATAGCTTGTGATCACAAAGGATAGCACTTGTGATCCCAAGACATGATTCTGATTTACTCTAGGGAAGACCAGGGGAGCTCACATGGGTTATATTCAGTGCAAAAAGATGTTGGAGCTAATGTGTGGACTAGAATAGAGTGCAAGTAAAAGAAGAAGAGAGACCATGGGCATATGTGAATAACAATCAGATCACAAGGTTATATATGTATCGTATCAGTTCCCAGGCCTCTCTTCTGGGATAGAATACTGCCCCCATCCCCAATCTGTCAATGGAGATATGATGCAGAGGCAGACTGGGACCTCAGGCTTAACTAAGACTTTCTGATTGTTTTGACTTCCGGTTGGGAATTCCAGTGGTGGTATTGATGTAGATGTGTCAAGTCTAAATTAGTAAAGCCTGGATCTTTGTGTGTTTCCCCTATGTTATTGGTAGAGTCTGAGCATGTGGGCAGCCAAGATGAACAGTTTTATCAAGATGATTAAGAATTTTGCCTTATGGAAAAAAGGGAAAAACAACAACAACAACAACAACAACAAAACCTGAGGCTCCAAATGGCAAATGCTGGATATGGTCATTAACCAGTAATCTGATAGAAAATTATATTGTAGAGCACTAGTATAAAGGATTTGCTAGCTCAAATTGTAGCCCATTCAGACACAAATGGTAATAGAATATTTTTAAAATTTGTGTTATGGAGATGAATTAAGTATTTTCTAATATTATTGAAAAATTTTACAAATGTCGTTGGTTTATGGAAGAGTGTTAGTTCTTTGGGTATTCATTTCCTGCTTGTTTTACACTGAGTTACACTCTTTTCCTCCAGGGATGTCAGCTTTGTAATGACATCCATCCATCCCAACTAAATGTTTTTTTTTTTTAGACGGAGTCTCCCTCTGTTGCCCAGGCTGGAGTGCAGTGGCGCGATCTTGGCTCACTGCAACCTTTGCCTCCACCTTCCGGGTTCAAGCGATTCTCTTGCCTCAGCCTCCCAAGTAGTAGCTGGGAGGCACCCGCCACGACGCCCAGCAAATTTTATTTTATTTTATTTTTTCTTAGTAGAAACCGGGTTTCGCCATGTTGGCCAGGCTGATCTCAAACTCCTGACCTCAGGTGATCCGCCCACCTCGGCCTCCCAAATGCTGAGATTACAGGAGTGAGCCCCTGTGCCCAGCCCATTTTGTTCTTTTTAAATGCTCTCCAAGATCATATGGTAGTAGAGCTTCACTTAGAATCTGTAGTGCTAGGGGTCAATCACTGAAACATCTGCTCTGTTTAGTTTTGAAGCCATGGATTTCAGTTTTCACTTTTGACAAAGTTATTCAGTATTAATAAATTTAAGCACAACTATGACTTCTAGTTTTATAATGTGCCGTTTATTGAGTGACTTACATATATGCTACTTTATTTAGCTCTCAACATATCTAGTACCATGTACATTACTTTTCCCATTTTATAAATGAAGGAACTAAGGCTAAGAAAGTGAATGACTTGCTTAGGGTCACATAGCTAGTAAGAGGTAAAGCCATACTGGAAGCAGGCAGATCTGACTCTAAAGCCCACATTCTTTTTTTTGTTTTGAGATGCAGTCTCACTCTGCCACCAGGCAATGGTGCGATCTCGGCTCACTGCAACCTCCACCTCCCGAGTTCAAGCAATTCTCCTGCCTCAGCCTCCCAAGTAGTTGGGATTACAGGTGCCCACCACCATACCCAGCTAATTTTTGTGTTTTTAGTAGAGATGGGATTTCACCATGTTGGCCAGGATGGTCTCGAACTCCTGACCTCAGGTGATCCACTCGCCTTAGCCTCCCAAAGTGCTGGGATTACAGGCGTGAGCCACCACACCCGGCCCTAAAGCACACATTCTTTTTTTTTTTTTCTCTTTTTTTTTTTTTTTTTTTTGAGACGGAGTCTCGCTCTGTCGCCCGGGCTGGAGTGCAGTGGCCGGATCTCAGCTCACTGCAAGCTCCGCCTCCCAGGTTTACGCCATTCTCCTGCCTCAGCCTCCCGAGTAGCTGGGACTACAGGCGCCCGCCACCTCGCCCGGCTAGTTTTTTGTATTTTTTAGTAGAGACGGGGTTTCACGGTGTTAGCCAGGATGGTCTCGATCTCCTGACCTCGTGATCCGCCCGTCTCGGCCTCCCAAAGTGCTGGGATTACAGGCTTGAGCCACCGCGCCCGGCCAAAGCACACATTCTTAACACTCTTCTCTGATGCATGATTTTCAATGCTGGTGGTGCTTGCTTCACATCATCTGGAAGTGGAATCAAACCCAGTATTTTCTTTTAAATGAAAGAGTCTCTTAGATCTATTAAACAAAAACAAGGTGCAAAATGTTATGTGTGACATGCTTAATACCACATATAGTATGTATACATACATATGGAAATGCATACACACATATGTAATGGTGGCACACTGGAGCTGGTTCACACCGGCTTGGGAGAGCCAATTGTGTACATCTTTTCCCAATTTGGTGGTTGGTGGTTTTACCTTGGCACCTTACAGTCAACCATGGTGGTCATACTTACATCACAGAAATCTGCAAATGCTATCAGTCAGGTTTTTTGTTGTATTTTCCAGAAAGCTGGTGGTTAAACATTATCAGCACTCTGTAGGTTTTTTCTGTTTTTTGCAAGGGGGGAGTCATCTAAGTATATCTTTTGAAGGAAGTGTAAGAAGCTGGTAAACATAGATTCTTCCAAGAAAGAGAACTGTCAAACCCAATATTTTTATAGTGAGGAAATTTAACAAGAGTATAGAAAAGCCTCATGAATGATGAGAATTAAACATCATGTGAATTACTAGTTCGTTCACTACTACTATCAAGTCTTTTTCTCAGTGTCTTGACAGTCTGGCTGGCACAGTGAAATGATATGTTCAAGCCAGACAATGTGCTCTGCTTTCTGATCTTCTCTTCTAACATTATAATATGTCATGAAGACTAAGGAAGGACAGCAAGAGTCTGTAGAAAATGTAGGTCATTAAAATAATCCATATTAGTGACTGTACTGATGACTGGTTTATTGCTTTGTTCTGCCACCATCTTCTTGACACTCTGAATGGAGATCTAATAGTCCATTGAGAAACTACTCTGGTTACTGGATTTTTTTCTTTCCATAAAGCATTTCAGGGGTAAAATTCTGTTTGACCACACGCTAAACACCTTTAGCTCCCCATGAATAACAAAGAAGTGCCTTCACATTAATGGAATAAAGTGGTGAAAACATATTTATCGAATAAATTTATATTAGAGACAGATGGGTAGACTTTGCTATTACTCTGTAACAATTTATTTAGTTATTTGTAACATCCACATTTTTAGAATCACTGTGCTGTAGTCCACATTACAATGAGAGTATCTAGGTTATAATTTATAGCTGAGCCATTATTATGAGGATATCATCTGATCTTTTATTTTTATGCTGGTCATGAAATGTAGATCAGGATGTTTGAATCTACTCTTTTGGAAGTTTGTTTTTTTTTTTTTTAAAGAGGCATGGAACTAAAACCCATTTTAATCCTGAAAGTTGTATATACTAAAAGTTACATTGTATATGCTTTAAGAAACTATTTTGTACATGTGTTTTTTCCAGATGATTTCCACTGGGAGGAGTATTTGAAAGAGACTGGGTCTATAAGTGCTCCTTCAGAGTGCTTCCGTCAGGTATGCCAAGATTCTGTAGCTGTTGGTTAATGTAAACTATTAACTTGTTGGAGGATGTCTGTGTGATTGTTAGATTCTGGTAGTGTGAGGAGATAGTGGGATTGTGGTAATGCCACTTAAGAGCCAGATGGTCTCTTTGCATTCATGAATTAAGAACTTACTCTATGTCAGGTATACTAAGCTTTATGATTGCCCATCTGGCAGGAAAAGCAGACATGTAAATAAATAATTATGAGAAGTGTGATAACTCCACACTGGAAGGGCTCACAGGAGAGATGCTATTTGAGATGGTTGGAATGGGAGGAAGGATATTCCAGGCAGAGAGAACATCTAAAGCCAAGGCACATGGGCATGAAAGCATCTGAGTATTAAGGGATGGCTTGGGGTGACTGGAGCACAAAGTGGATAGAGGCGATAATGTGGAAATGAGGTTAAAGTTGTGGGGGCATTTAAACTGTGCTGAGGAGTTGGACTTTATTATAGGCAGTGGTGAGCTGCTGGTTGGCTAATTTCAAGGGGAATGGCCTAATCAGATTCTTACTTTAGAAAGCCACTCAGGGTATATTTTAGAGGTTGTATTTGTGTTGCCTGGAAGTGGGCAGATGAGTGAGAACAGCAGTGGGTAGTGTTTTTATGCTGCATGTCAAGCCAAGGAGAGAATTTGAAGATCTTTTGCTTGACTCTTACAGCTCTGACCTCACTTATCATCCGCCATGACTGTTATTTAAAATGTTCCTCAGGTATTCTGGTGACATAGCTATCCATGTGTCTCATCTTATAGTTGATGCATTTTAACCAAATTTTATTTATATGTATAGTCTCAGATTCCACCTGTGAATGATTTCAAAGTTGGTATGAAATTGGAAGCCCGTGATCCTCGCAATGCCACTTCAGTGTGTATTGCTACGGTTATTGGAATTACTGGGGCCAGGTTACGGTTACGACTGGATGGTAGTGATAATAGAAATGATTTTTGGAGGCTTGTCGATTCCCCAGACATACAACCTGTTGGGACATGTGAAAAGGAAGGAGACTTACTTCAACCTCCACTAGGTAAGAAGAAACAGTTTTAAAAATAGCGTATTCTTTCTAATGTGATGTTCAATAGAAGTGGCTTTAAGCGGCCTTTTAAAATTTATTTTCTCGGGCATTCTTGTAAATAAATGGTCAGATGGTTACTGTGGAGAATGTATGATGAGAGAGGAAATCAGCACCATCTGTTGTGGAGTTTTGCTTAAGTACATATCTGGCATATGTGTATGGAAGGTTCCCCACTCCAGGGCAAGACTCATGCTAGGTCTTCAGACTTGAAATGTCAGAACCAACTCTACTAGATTACATATGCAGATTCAGAACTCCTTCTGGAGAAGAACTTTGTAGCATTTGATACAAGGCACATGCTCTCTCAATGTTGTCCACTGAGCCATTCAGCAATTTTGGTATAGGGATAAGTCTAGGGGAAGGGTATGATTCCACATTCAGTTTCCAGTTTCAAACTCAAGAATTTCATTTCACCTACAGTGGGAAGAAATCAAGAGTGAGAGGGGCAGGAATTAGTACCTTTAGGTCTTTGAAAAGGAGAAAATGGATATTTTAGCCAAGATTTTAAGGTACAAAATATGTACTTTAATGTTGGCCAAATTTTTGAAAGGTAAAAAGAGTGTGACTAATTTGGGGCAACATTTTTCTTTTTAAAATTTAAGCATACCATGATACTCTGTAAGAAAGAAATTATTTAGTTTATTTAGTTGCTGTTCTATACTTTGAGTGAATGGTGGGTATTTGTTTTTATTTGGTTCTTTACAGTGCTGAAAATGAAAATTCCTTGTTGCAAAGCACAATAAAAGAATGGATTTTTTTTTGTTTTCCTATTAGTGAAAAATTCCTTGAGAATCACAAATTTAAGATATTAACAATAGCCACTCTTTAGTAATATATCTTTATGCTGTCCTTGTTCTGTTTGTTCGTTATAACTCATTTGGTTTAAAAAATATATTTTTTTGAGATGGTTCTCGCTCTTGTTGCCCAGGTTGGAGTGCAGTGGTGTCATCTCGGCTCACTGCAACCTCTGCCTCCTGGTTTCAAGCCATTCTCCTGCCTCAGCCTCCCGAGTAGTTGGGATTACAGGCGCCCACCACCACACCTGGCTAATTTTCGTATTTTTAAGTAGAGACGAGGTTTCACCATGTTGACCAGGCTAGTCTCAAACTCCTGACCTCAGGTGATCCGCCCACCTCTGCCTCCCAAAGTGCTGGGATTACAGGAGTGAGCCACTGCTCCAGGCTAAAATATTTTAAAAAACTAGTTGGAGATATGTTATTCCAAGAAGATGGCTTGGGTCATGTTTGTTTGTTACCTTTTGCCTTCTTTCACTCACGTCTTTTGTTGTTTATTTGTTGTTTGTAATATTTCTCAAATTACACAATCTGTGTGAAAGATAAGTACAAACCTGGGCTTAGTGCTTCCCTATTTGGATTTTATTTCTCTTTTTGCAATGTGGAATGTTTTTGCAGTTTGTTTAAGGAGATGCTGCTATTGTAATTGTTAGCATTTCAGATACATAACTTGATTTATGGTCATTCTTTTAAATAAAATTCTTAGACTTTTGTTTTATTTAAAAATATGAAATGTATAGAAATATGTGCCGATTAGTATCTGTTTTGGCAATATACCTAAAAATGCACAATTGGTGCCAGTTTGCTTTTTAGGCACTTTTGAGTAGTTTAACTTCCATTTTATTTACTTATTTATTTGTTTGTTTGTTTATATTTATTTATTTTGAGACAGAGTTTCGCTCTGTTGCCCAGATTAGAGTGCAGTGGCGCCATCTCGGCTCACTACAAGCTCCGCCTCCCAGGTTCACGCCATTCTCCTGCCTCAGCTTCCAGAGTAGCTGGGACTACAGACGCCTGCCACTGCACCTGGCTGATTTTTGTATTTTTAGTAGAGACAGGGTTTCACCATGTTAGCCAGGATGGTCTCGAACTCCTGACCTCATGATCCACCTGCCTCTGCCTCCCAAAGTGCTGGGATTACAAGTGTGAGCTACCGTGCCTGGCCAACTTTCATTTTAATACAACTTATTTAGTTTTCCTTTGAAAAAGATTTATTGATTTAAACTTTAAAGGCTATTATTAAAAGATTTTAAAAAGTTTTAACACACAAACTGAAAGGTGTACAGGTCATAAGTATATAGCTCATTTATAAATGAACACATCTGTAAAGCCATCATCCAAATCAAAAACAGAACATTATCAGCCCCCCAGAAGACCCACTCCTGCTGATAACTAGTCATAATCTCTCCTTTCCTAAAGGTACTGCCATCTAGACTTCCTAACCTTATAAATTAGTTTTATCTCTTTTTAAACTTTTTATATGTACCTTAACCCAATTTTGGTCTTTTAATCTATGTTTGACTTTAAGCAATTATAGAATTAAGTAAAATGTTACATTCAGGAAAATCTGGGCACATGATGGAATAGGATAATACGGGGATTGAGAGAAAGGTTTAAGGACCAGAGAATGATTCTTATGCAGTACTCTCCATAGAATGGACAATAATAATGTTGATTTATTGTAAGGGAGTATGTGAAAAATCACCCCCCACCCCTGTTTTTTTTTCTAGCAACAATTGTGTCTCTAGTCAGATTAAGGGGATTTTGGTACAGGGTTATTAGAGGATGACTTTCCATCTTACCTTTTTTGTATGTTTTGTTCTGTTGATGGAGAATAGGACAAAACCTGCACCCATTGCCAGTGATTCATGTGCCTCTCTGTCTTAATGTATGCACGTATCAGGGGCGCATCCAAATTCTTTCTAATTCTGGCATTGAGGCAAGCAGGTGTTGCATGAAACAGATTGCCCCCAGAAAGCAGTAAAACTAGCAGACCCCTGCTCCCTGCTGCATTTGCCAGATGCTGTGATACCATTAGTTAGTGAGATCTCTAGAAAAGATACTTGTTGAGTCTATTTTGATAGCATCTGATACAAATTCTAAAAGAAGATCATTTTTAGTATGTATTAAGATTGCTAAAGTGAGAGCTGTCTTTTTTTCTAACACATTTTATGGAAAATTTCAAACATGCAGAAAACGTGAAAGAATTTTACAGCGAGTACCCCCATGTCCACTTTCTAGATTCTACCATTATCATTTTATTATGCTTACTTTATCACATATCCATCTATCTGCGCTTCTGTTTATTCATCAATCCTTCTTATTTGTCAATACATTTCAGAGTGAGTTGTTGACATCAGTGCACGTCCCCTAAATACTTTAGCATATATATCATTAATGAGTAAATATCTATAGGTTTTTTTCTTTTGAGGTAAAATTACATGCAATGAAATGTATTGTTGTGTGTGTATATGTGCTGAGTTTGACAGAAAACTGTCTTTCTGAAATGAAAGAAGCCAGGGGCCCTGAGGAAAAGGGGGCTAGGAGTCTTTTACAGCCTTTACCCTTGCTTGTGTGATTGTTGGTGGTGGAATGGAAGCTCTCCTAGGCTCCAGCTTAGATCACCCCTGGTATTATATACATGTTTGTTGGTGAATCCTAGCTAGTGGCTTCTCTTAAAATGAGAGTTTCTACGCCCACTGTAGCATTGTTGCCAGACAGTACAGTGGGGACACTAGCAGTGAGAGGAGGGTACATCTGCTCCTCTTGCCCATGTTCAGAGTTCTTAGATAAGAAAGTCATTCTCTTGAGAATAATGGGAATGAAACCTATTTTTTATACCAACTTGTTAATAGTATCACAGGGAGGCTTTTTCATGATACCTAATTTATTTTATAAAACAGGGTACCAGATGAATACATCATCCTGGCCGATGTTCCTCTTAAAGACACTAAACGGGTCTGAAATGGCATCTGCCACATTATTTAAGAAGGTAAGAAAGATGTTATAAAAAGCTGCCATGTTTTTATTGTTTTAGTGGGAATGCTTAAATGCGTAATCTTCTGTGACATGGAAAAGCAAACATACTTTTAAAATTACTGGATTGGCAAGTGTATTAGTTTGCTGGGGTTGCCATAACAAAGTACCACAGACTGGGTGGCTTAAACAACAGAAATTTATTTTCTCCATTCTAGAGGCTGTATGTCCAAGATCAAGGTACCCTCAGATAATGTGCAGTGCTCCACCATTAGCATACAGACATGTTTGTATCTCCACACCTTCACTAACATTGAATATTATTCATCTTTTAAAATGTTGGGAATCTTTTTTGTGGGGGAGTGGTGAAGATGAGGATGGTATCCCATTGGTTTCTGGTGAGATCTCTCTTCTTGGCTTGCAGATGGATGCTTTCTTGCTGTGTCTTCACATGGTCTTTTCTCTATCCATGCACATCCCTAGTGTGTCTTCCTCTTCTTATAGGGACACCAGTCCTATTGGATTAGAGGCCGACCCTTATGACCTCACTTAACCTTTATTACTTCCTTAAAGGCCCTGTTTCCAAATACATTTATGTTGGGGGTTGGTGCTTCAACATATGAATTTTGAGATGATAGAATTAAATTTGTAATAATAGATTAAATAACAGAATTGTATTTTTGCACAGTTGTGGAGGCTAGAAGTCTGAGATCAAGGTGTCAGCAGGTTTGGTTTTTTTTTTTTTTTTTTTTTTTTTGAGACAGTCTCACCTGTCACCTAGACTGGAGTACAGTGGCGCAATCTTGGCTCACTGCAACCTCCGCCTCCCAGGTTCAAGCAATTCTACCTTAGCCTCCTGAGTAGCTGGGACTACAGGTGTGCACCACCATGTCCAGATAATTTTTTTGTATTTTTAGTAGAGGTGGGGTTTCACCATATTGGCCAGGCTGGTCTTGAACTCCTTTTTCTTTTTTTTTTGAGACTGAGTTTTGCTCTGTCACTCAGGCTGGAGTGCAATGGTATGATCTCGGCTTCTCGGGTTCAAGCAATTCTCATGCCTCAGCCTCCTGAGTAGCTGGGATTACAGGCACGTGCCACCACACCGGGCTAATTTTTGTGTTTTTAGTAGAGACGGGGTCTCACCGTGTTGTCCTGGCTGGTCTTGAACTCCTGGGCTCAGGTGATCTGCCAGCCTCAGCTTCTCAAAGTGCTGGAATTGCAGGCATGAGCCACTGCCCCCAGCCAGGTTTGGTTTCTTTTGAGGCCTCTCCCCTTGGCTTGTAGATGGCTGCCTTTTCCCTGTGTTTTCATGTGATGGGTTTATCTGTGTCCAATTTGTTCCTCTTATAAGGATGTCAGTCATATTGGATTAGGGCCTACCCTGATAACCTTATTTTAACTTAATTACCTCTTTGAAGACCCTATGTCCAGATACCATCACATTCTGAGGTACTGGGGGTTAGTGCTTCAACATATGAATTTTGGGAGTGACACAATTCAGTCTATAACATCAAGTCATAAAAAAGTCTCAATTATAATAACCCACTAGTCCAATTTCATTAGTAGCCTCTTTCTTGACTGTAGATATAAAAAGAGTGCTCTACCGGAAGCAAATATTCATTGCTATTTTTTATTTGCATTCAGAAGTGAATCTTCCCCTCACTTTACTGTGTTAGTCCCTTTGATACTGGAGAAAAAGATGATGGGCCAAAAAAATAACTTGAAAGTTAGTTGGAGAGATTTGGTTTCAGAAGTAAACAATGTTAAAAGCAGTCATTGGAAAGAATTTGTCATGAGGAAATACTTGCTATATAAAAAAAGAGGAAAAATTTCCAGAATAGTTTATATTCTTGAGAAAATGTTGAAAAGTATGTTAAGAAACAATAAAAGCCACGTTTTAAATTATGAGTCAAAATATTTCTTTCTCACCTTTTCTTCTGATTGTTTTTCAATCTCTTAACTTTTATTACAACTATACTTGGAATGATAAGAATTGATTGTAGTTTTAAAAAGCTTTTGAAGAAGATTGAAGGCATAAGGATGTGAAACATCAATTACTATGCCTCCTTCATTGCAAAGAAAAATTCTGTGGGTACATCTTTGAGGAAGATGAATGCAGAAAGTGGACTTGCCCTACCTGCAAGGGACACAGGCAGCACAGGCCCTTTGGCCCGTGGTAAGCCGTGTGTGAGAATAGCTAATTAAAAAATATTTAGCAGAAGTCTTTATTTATTGAACACCTATTAGCTTGGGTTGTGACTTTAGAAAAGCCATTGGATCTGTTTTACTAGTCAGATTGCTTGATCAGCTGGTCGTGTGCCACACTTGTTGTACACATTATGTTTTAAATTTTTTTAATTATAAAAATAATTCATGTGGTGGGGGGCAGGGGATGGGAATCAAGCTATACTCTTAGCTGGAGTGAAAAATGCATCTCCCTTTGTCCCAACCATTCCTTCATTCCCCTCTTCCCTCCAAATTGAAGTTTTATTTGTTCTCCCAGACCTTTTTCTTTACATTTATAAACAAATATGGGCTTTTATTTTCTTAAACATCAATTGGAATATATTGTACATATTATTCTGTGGTTTACTTTTTCTCCTAACATATGTGTGTTTTGGAAATCGTTCTATTTCATTTCATATATATTTTAGCTTGTATTGTACTCTTCTGTAGTATGGATCATCAGAATTCATTTAACCCTAGAATTGACTTAACTGTAAGGACGGATGATTAGGTCATCTCCACATTCTTGTTTAGATCAGCTCTACAGTGAGCATTCTTATAAAGAGTTTTGTGTATAAGTGTGAACAGTTGCATTCCTGGAACTAGAACTGCTTGTTCAAAGGGATGTATGTTTTGGTTGGGCTTTGGGAGGCCAAGGCAGGAGGATCGTTTGAGCCCAGGAGTTAAAAACCAGCCTGGGCAACACAGGGAGACCCTGCCTAAAAAAAAATTTGAAAAATTGTAAAGAAAAAACAAGGGAATGTATATTTTAAATGTTGATATATACTGTTAAATTGCATTCCCAAAGGGTATTCTAAGGCAGGTGTCCCCAACCTTTTTGTCATCAGGGGTCAGTTTCGTGGAAGACAATTTTTCATGGATGGAGGGGTGGGTGGTTTCAGGATGATTTGAACACATTACATTTATCATTAGATTCTCCTAAGGAGTGCGCAATGTAGATTCTTCGCACATGCAGTTCACAATAGGGTTTGCACTCCTATGAGAATCTAATGCTGCTCTTGATGGGAGACAGAGCTGAGGTGGTAATGCGAGTGATGGGGAGCGGCTGTAAATACAGATGGAGATTTGCTTGCTTGCCAGGTGTGCCACCCAGTTCCTAACAGGCCACGGACCAGTACCAGTCCGGGGGGTGGGGATCCCTGTTCTAAGCTATGCTCCACCATTAGCCTATAAACATGTTTGTATCTCTGCACCTTCACTAACATTGAATATTATCCATTTAAAATTTTCGTGAATCTTTTTTTGGAGGGGGTGGTGAAGATGAGGATGGTATCCCATTGTTTTAATTTGCATTGCACTGATTACTAGTAAAATTGTGCTTTTAAGATTTGTTTAATGGCCTTTTGTTTTTCTGTGAATTGTCTGATTATAGCCTTTGCCTGTTTTTCTGTTTTGTTTTTGAGACAGAGTCTCATTCTGTCTCCCAGGCTGGAGTGCAGTGGCGTGAACCTCAGCTCACTGCAACCTCCGCCTCCTGGTTCAAGTGATTCCCATGCCTCAGCCTCCCGAGTAGCTGGGATTACAGGCAGGCGCCACCACACCTGGTTAATGGTTGTGTTTTTAGTAGAGACAGGGTTTCACTATGTTGGCCAGGCTGGTCTCGAACTCCTGACCTCAGGTGATCCGCCAGCCTTGGCCTCCCAAAGTGCTGGGATTACAGGTGTGAACCACTGTGCCTGGCCCTTTGCCTGTTTTTCTGTTGGATTTCTTCTTAGAATCATCTTAAATCCTCACTTTTCCTTGATTTTGGCCTCTGGAGGTCTACTCACTTAGCTTCGTAATTATTTATTTGTTCTGTTTCTTTCTAACCTTACCACCACTGCCCCTTGGGCAGACTGTCAGCCTAAAATAACAACAGAGAAAGAGGCTCTCCAAAAAAAAAAGTCTATTTGGGAACGAATGGCAAGGGGTTTCAATGCAGGATATTTGTGCTGTTTTGGATCATTGGCATATCTGGTGATGGTAAGGCAAAGGGAAGCTTTTAAAGGCAAAACAAGGAAGGTTACATAAGTTGTTTTGAAGCACTTATCCTTGGCCACAAGGATCAATAATAAGAGTGGTATCTGGGGTTGAACAGTTACTGGATAGATGTCCTTGCAGGAGTATTCTTTGTGTAAGGTTGTGGTTTTCAGAGAGTCCTTGTAATAGTTTTTATCATAGGCGTGTGTACATGAGAGCCCCTCCTCTATGGTCCTTTTTGTTAGGGTTTGGCATAAGTGACTCCATTTTGATTCTGACAACTTTTATAAGGCTTTCCTCTTGCCTGAACTGTTACGCTAGCCTTTTAACTGCCTCTAATCTTCACCCTTTCACACAACCGCTAGAAATGTGTATCTTATACAAAAACCTTACCATGTTATTCCCCTGTTTAAAACTCTTTTGAAGTTCCTGGTTATACTCAGGATGAAGTATAAGTTTTCCAGTATGGCCTGTTAGGTCCTGTGTGATCAGGTTCAGGGATGCCACTCCCTGCTTTGGATGTTATGTTCTTAAATTGCTTGTAATAGCTTGTAGATACCTTGTTTATTTTTAGAGCTCTGTTTTGACTCATGTTGGTTTTCCCTGGTTAACTCCTACTTTTTAAAGATTCAAGTCAGACGTTAAATCCTCCAAGATAATATCCCTAATTCCCCTTCTCCATTCTTCTACTTTTTTTTTTTTTTTGGTGAGACAGTCTCCCTCTGTTGCCCAGGCTGGAGTGCAGTGGTGCAATTTCAGCTCACTGCAGCCTGCAACCTCCGCCCCCTGGGCTTAAGTGATTCTTCTGCC